CTACGCACACCCCCGCCCACCCCCACCCTCACACCCACACCCACACCCACACCCACACTCACACCCACACCCACACCCACACCCACACTCACACCCACACCCACACCCACACCCACACCCTGAAGTATGATGATCGATACTAGAAGTGAAGCAAATTGATTCTACTCTCTGCATCACGTAGTCCTACGATAATTGCTATCTTCGTTGACAAACATTGTGGTGATGAATTTTCTTTTCTTTTGAGATAAAAGAGAAAAATAAAAATAAAAATAACACGCGTTGTCAGAATACTTGTCTTGTGGAAATACATTATTCATAGCGTTTTGAAAATGTCTTTTTCTTTTTTTTCTCTTCGAAAATTGCAATAATATTTATTCCTCATGAAAGCAAATAGACTTTAAAAGATTTATGATAGAAAAGAAAGGAAAAATTGTAAAAAAGTCTCGTTAATATGAAGGAGTAAATATATTACTTCGCCATTGTTTTTGAGTGAATTACGATTACTTTCACAATTCAGATTTACATACTTTGCGATAACTTGCAATTGTTTGACTTCACGTACTTATGACCAAGCCATCATTGAATATAATCAGTTATGCCATAACCGAGAGCGAAACCCTAGTTGATAATCACGATGAGAACAAGGAGAACACGACACTCATATGGTTCGACCCAAAAATTGGCTCTCATGCTGATACTGTGGCCACCATGCAACGACTCCAGGAGATCAACAACTATGTCGCTTTTCACACCGAGCTTCAATCATGCCTCATATTCATCCAGTCCAGTCAACGAGAGAAGATCTTTCTAATCACCTCCGGCTCTCGTGCCTCTGAGCTGCTGCCATTAGTGGCTGATCTTCGTCAAATAGATTCCATCTTTATTTACTGCTTCAAAAAAAAACAAATATGAGCATCTCACTGCTCAATACTCAAAAATCATTGATATCTATGACGAGCTCGATCCGTTATGTGACTCAATTCGAGATCAAATCAATATTGTCGATAAACAACTGCAAACATTCAGCTTTTTTGATCAACATCAAAAGGCCATCAAAGATCTCTCGCAAGAAGCAGCAGAGTTCCTATGGTTTCAGCTGTTTAACGATGTCATCTTGCGTCTTCCTCGCAGTCAACAAGCTAAACAACAGATGCTCGCTATGTGTCGCCGATATTATCGAGACATTAGAAAACAATTGAAATTCATCGATGAATTTGAGCGGGACTATCAACCAGAAAATGCCATCCGATGGTATTCGAAACAATCGTTCGTCTATCAACTGGTGAATAAAGCACTAAGAAGTGAAGACATTGATCAACTGTACATTTTTCGATTTTTCATTGGTGACCTTTCGGAGAGTCTCGCTTGTGAGCATCAAAAGTTGATCCAATCGCGCAAGCAAACTATGCTTGTCTATCGTGGAATAAAACTGTCGAATATTGAGCTCGATCAGTTCAAAAACAAGAAAGATCAACTCATCTCGACTAATGGATTTTTGTCGACTAGTCGAAATCGTTCTCGTGCATTGAACTTCGCCATGAAGCCTACGAAACGAAGCGATGCAGTGCCTGTTCTCTTCAATATCAAGTGCCATGTACAACAGCTAGGCAATAGTGTAATCTTTGCCGATATTTCTCATCGAAGTGAATATCCTGAAGAAGAAGAAGTCCTGTTCGATTTGAGTACAGCTTTTCAAGTTCATAGTGTTGAACACGATGGAGAAGTGTGGGTGATCAATATGACGGTAACGAATGAAGGACAAGTAGTTGTCCAAGATTATCTCGAAGCGACACGTCGTGAAACGGAAGAGTGCAGTGTTGGAATCATGTTTGGTAGGCTGATGTGCAACATGGGTCAATATGGCAAATCTCAACGATACTTTGAACAGTTGTTAATCAATTCGAAAGATGAAGATCCGGCATGGGTCGAGTATAATATTGGTCGAGCACTTCACTTCAAGGGAGAATGGAAGAAAGCACGAAAATACTATGATAATGCGTACCAGCGAATGATGAATATTAATCCACATCGAGTACTCAACAATATTGGTGCTGTGCTGAAAAATGAAGGAAACTACGATGAAGCTCTTGTTTTCTATCAGCGAGCACTAACTATACGAGAGAAATATTATCCTAATGGTCATCTTGACAGTTCTGCAAGCTTGAACAACATTGGTCGTGTGTTGGAAGCTCAAGGAAAATGCGATAAAGCACTTGATTTCCATCGAAGAGCGCTGATCATACAAGAAAAATGCTGTCCGAATGGTCATCCAGATATTGCTTATAGCCTCAACAACATAGGTCATGTGCTGGAAAGTCAAGGAAAGTACGATGAAGCACTTGATTTCCAGCGACGAGCACGAGTCATACAAGAGAAATATTTTCCTCCTGATCATCCTCATATTGCTACGAGTTTCAACTATATTGGTGGTGTGCTGCATTGTCAAGCAAAGTGCGATGAAGCTCTTGATTTCTATCGAAGAGCGCTGGTCATACGAGAGAAGTACTATCCCACTGGTCATCCCGATACTGCTTTGTGCCTCAATAATATTGGTCGTGTGTTATACGATCAAGGAAAGTACGATGAAGCGCTCGATTACCATCGGCGAGCGTTGACCATGCTCGAGAAGTATGAGTCTAGTAAGCATCCTGACATTGCTTCTACTCTTAACAACATGGGTGCCACCTACGAAAAGTATAATCGACCAAAAGAAGCACTCGACTATTATCAGCGATCTTTGGCAATATACCAAAAAGTTCTACCTGCCGGCCATATAAATTGTAAGACAGTTGAAAAGAATATTCGTCGGCTCTCATCTAAGAATTGAATAAATGCAGGCGTAGGACGTCTTGTGTCACGATTTGAGTATTTTCTGAAAGGATTCACCGCATCACGAGATCCAGTACAACTTATGCTAGTTCTCAGCAGAACTCGAAGAGAGTGTAGATGTGAATGCGAGATAGATAAAAGACACACGTTCTATATTGTAAATCGAATGATTCGTTGAAGCTGTCAAATTCGTCACAAAACTCTTATTCGAGTATCTACTTGTTCTTCTCCATTGAAAGATTTTTTGATTGACCTTAGTATTTCATGTTATTATTCGAAAAAAGTACCTGATTAAACTTGTTCCTGTACAAATGTGGACATGGCGAGATACGAGTTTAATCTTACATAACTTTTTCAACTTTAGATGTGAACATGAAATCATTGACAGAAAATAGAATATCGAACAAGTATAACAGAATAGCAACGTTATCTTTCTCGAATTAGATAAACCATCGACTTTCAAATCAATGTCATCGATAGATCTATTGATGTATGCCAAGTTTTGTCATTGATGAATTCATTCTGGATTGATGAATTGTTTGTTGTAATGATTGACGTTGATATAAATAGATCAATGGTTCAATCAAAGGAATGAAGGAAAGACAAATATAAAATTGAAATTGATTATTCTGAATTATTTTTCTTCGTTCTAAATCATCTGCAATGAAACAGGAAGATAAAAATGAAACAACAAAACAGATCGATTGTCATTGTATAAATAAATTGATTGATCCAAAATTCAGGAAGAAATGCATGAAAATCACCAGAGTTTAAAGCAAAAACTATCAAATCAACGTTAGGCAGCATTAGAAGAATAACAATGAATTTCAAATCAAAGATACGCATGAATAAATTTAATTTAAATTTCCTTGTATTGTCACTACGGTGTAATGCGAAATATGGCAAAACAACGAAACCACCCAATGCCATAGCTAAGAGTACAGCTACACTTTCATTCAATCGTTGATTTTGACCTTTAACTAATAATATTGAGACATAAACAAGCGGCCAAATATCTAAATTATTATCAATAGATTTCGATTAATAACCTAATGAAGAGAGATCTTTTTTAAAACTTTACTTCTGACAAAAGTTGATAAGACATCATTTTTATGATAATTATTGAAACTTTTATTTTTCATAAGATTGTCTATATTTTAAATTCTCTTCGATTGAATCGATTTTCTCGAAAGAGAATCGCGTATAAAAATATTTATAATTTTTCTTTCCAATATTTTCTAATTCATTTCTGAAAATATCCATAGATGATCGGGATTAAGATAGACTAACTTTATTCTATTTTTCAAACGAGAAAATTATTCAACTCAATGGATTAAATTGAATATCTCTGAAAAAAAGACTTCTCTCTGATAGCTTATTGTCATCTTAAATTTACCTAAAACATAGAATAAAGATTTAACATATGAATTGATATCATTCCATGGTTCAAGCATCAATTGTTGAAGCGCCTGGCTCCACCCGCGCCCCGCACGCGGCTGCCA